GGCATGACTCTCTGAGCATGCTACCTGAGACAGAATAGCTCCTAACAGCTCTTTGTCACCTCCTAAGGCTGGCTGGGGGTCGGCAGGCCATTAGGGATAGTAAACTTGCATGCTTTTCTCAACAAGTAAGCAGACAAATGAACAGGATTCAGTTCCCCTTACCCAGAGGCCTGCCATGCACTGAGCAGTCTGCAGGCTCCGTCAGCGGCCATGGGCTGGTGGGTGAACCTATTCAGCACAAGAGAAAACAGACGAAAACAGATGTCTGCTCCTCCTGCCAAGTCCCTTTCTTGCATTTTAGGAACCATTCCACAAGCACAGGGAGGGTTTTGTTAATTTCTTTCAGATGATGACTGAGTGCTTTACACCATGTGGGACCTCCAAAGCCTGGCTCTTCTACTCAAGTGAGCAGTCGTGCCATTAGCCCTCTCACAGCCAGTGTGGGACTTCTTTTTCCACGTGTTTGGAAAGCTCCCGGACCCCATCCGTGCCTAGGGACATAAAGAGGCCCAATGCACCCACTGTTCTTGGCTACCTGTAATTGACAGAATAATTTTTTTCAGACATGGCGCTTTATTATTTAGACATAATGAAACAGTTAGGGTTGTGACTGATTTTAAAGAGACTAAATTAATCTTCATTCAAAACACCACCAATTACTATAAATACTTTATGTCCCATTTCCTATGAATATATACAGTAATGAGACTTTGTGGACATTTAGAGGATTTGATTGGTGTGTGTGTGTGTGTGTGTGTGTGTGTGTGTGTGTGTGTGTGTGTGTGTGTGTCTGGTACAACAGGCCTGGGGTTTTATCCCATTCTTTTGTGTTTTAAGTTTTAAATTACTGCAGCATTGTGGGTAGTGTTTGCAGGACAGGTCGACCACATGGAAAGAAAGAATACATGAGACTAGCTGTAATGGTCCTCCCAAATGAGGACACTTGACTGACAGGGTTGTTGCTATGGGAAACAAATACCAGAAATCTCCGCAGGCCTGGGATGTAGCTCAGCAGCACAGTGCCTGCCCAGCACTCAAAAGGCTCCTGAGTTCAAACGCCCAGGATATTTTTTTAAAGTCATAGGAAATATTTACATATATTTAGTCCATTGTATGTCACTCTTATCATAGTGATTTATCACATACACACACACACACACACACACACACACACACACACACACACACCTCCATTCAAGCTTTTAACCATTTTAATATTTGAGTTGTTTTTTTTTCCACTATTGGTAAATCTTTAGGTTAAATTAAAACTCTACAAAGTATATATTGTTTTCATTAATATTTATCCCAGAAGCAACTAAGACACATTAGAAAGCACTCATGTCTTCCTTGTCAACTCCCCTTTTAAAAAGACTTGAATGTGTAAAAAGTTCTGTGAGGATGCTTAAATATGAAGTCGTTGAAATCTTTATAATCATAATTTCAGAAGTCTGAGGAATCCAGTTGTTCATTTCTTACATTACATATTTAGGTCATTATAGCATATTTTTGTCTAGAAAGTATTTTCATGACCTTTAATTAGCCAGTTCCTGCTTTATTCCGAACCTAAGCCTGATTTATGAATCTTAATCATGCCTTCCCCTCCTTTTGTGCCTCTGAAACCTTCTTTTGCAGAGTTTGGCTGTCAGAAGACAATCCCTCCTCCATCCTCTCCCAACATACCTCTGGGGAGGGAGGGAGACATCCCAAAACATGGTGGTTTGTCTCCCTAAAGTATCAGTCACTTAATGGTATCAGGTTCCAGAGCTTGTCTCTCTCCAAATTGAAATTGTTGGGGACTAGAAGCCAAGTGTAACTCTCATGTTGGATGGGAATAGATGCTGAGAGAGGGTCTCACATTATAGCCTAGGCTGGTCTATGTAGCCCAGGCTACAACTTAACAGCAATTCTCCTGTCTCAGCCTCTACAAGTGTTGAGTTCATAGGCATGAACTCTAAGATAAAGCACAGGGTTTCAAGGAAGTTTTGGAGCTAGAACAAGGCTGTGTGGTCATTTTCTTCAGTGTTAGAACTCCAGGAATGGGGCGTGGGGATGGGAATCTAACGTAATAACTGACAAAGTAAGGCCACTTCCTGTTTCAGACTGAAAGTGAAGCCTCTTGATTTAGCTTGCTCTGGATGTCCCATCTTCTCTCAGCAAACTTAGCCTCTCATCTTTGAGGCTCCATCCATCCTCCCAATGTGGTTTGTACGTATCCAGCCTTTGCTTCACCATGCGTGTTTTCTTGCCCCTCTGTTGACCTGTGAGCTACTAGAAGATGGGACTGGGGTCGCAGTTGCTTTGTAGGGAGCGTCTGGAATGCACGGGATACATTGGAAGAGCCCTTTTGCGCTGAAGCTCTTTTCTAGGAACAATGACCCTGCTTGTGTGGGTTTCCACAGGAAGGAATCCCAGAGACTTGGGAGGTGGGGCCCAAAGTGAGATGACTCTTGGAGGGACTGAGTGATTTACTGGGTGAAGTTGGCTGAGGCAGCAAGTGAGGTGACAATGAAGAGATAAGACTTCCCCCCTGCCCCCACCTCAGGCCAATCTGAGAGCTTTTAACACCTGAAGACAACAATGTGCGCATTATTGCCCTACATCTGTTAAATAACTTGACACATTTTCAACATTAAAGATATGCTTTATCTAACTGACACTGAGATGTTTTGTTCGGTGTGAGTTAACCCGTGCTACCACACTAAATCCTTCTCATCTCAGCTAGAAAGCAGAGACAGGTGCAGTTTTGATTCGCCCATGAAGGGTTCGTGAAGGAGGTTGTTGAGCTGGTTGGTGTTGAACATTTTGAAATGTTTCATTTTTTATTGGACCTGGACCATCTGGGCTCAGAGCCAGTGCTCTCTGCCTTTGGCCTGGCTGTACACTGCCTTCTTTCTTACCTGGGCCAGGGAGTTCTAAGGATGGTATGGGTTGCCCATTCTTCTGTGTCTTTTAACTTTAATTATTGGGAATACCAGACATTTATCATTCTGTAGGAAACTAAATGACTTCATTGGTTTAGGGATCCATTTCTTCATTCATGTGTGGAGTGCCAGAAGTCAAGCCTAAGACCTCATGCCAGACAAGAGCTCTAACAGTGAGCTGAACCCCAGCTCTAGATGATTTTAAATCTTAAAAAGACAAATAGTCAGTGCTTGTTTTTGCTTGAAAATTATATGAAAGGAGTGTTGTGGAATAATGCTTTGGTATACTTGTTTAATGAAATGCTCAGCCATTAGCTCAGGCTTCCTACTGACTAGCTCTTACACTTAAACTCAGCCCATTTCTATTAATCTGTATGTCGCCACATTTTCCGTGGCTTTACCTGTGTGCCATTACATGCTGCTCCCTGGACAGCGGGCTGGTGTCTCCTCACTCAGCCTTCCTCTTCCCAGAATTCTCCTTGTCTGCTTATCCCACCTATACTTCCTGCCTGGCTACTGGCCAATCAGCGTTTTATTAAACCAGTGTACAAAAGCATTATCCCACAGCAAAGGAGAGATTTCATTTCAGGTTTACTTAATGTTAAGATACATTAGAAAGACTTTGTACAAAGGCACACGTGCATGCCGCTTCACATATATTTTTAGAACGCTGTGTACTTCAGAAATCGAGGAAGTCCTAATGAGGATATTATTCCTTTGCCAAAGGCTAAGACATCAATTAATGACTTTACCAATAGTGCTTATTAAAGAGCAGTCAGCTCACGTGCTTCAGTGTGCAAAGATAAAACTGGGGAACAAGGGACACAGTTCTGTGGGAGGACACTTACTTGCCTAGAAAGCTCAAGGCCCCAGGTTCATCTCCAGAACCAGAAGCAAGGGGAGCGTAAGATCAAAGGGAATTTTGAAGTGAAACCTGGACCAACCTCAGTTGCATAGGTGAATTTTGACTTGTCAGGAAATATTCTTGTCGTCAGGTAGGCTTTCCGCAGTGGTGTGGATAGCAAGCTCTCCCTGCGCGTGCATCACGGTCACACATGTTCTCAGTGCACACAGTTCAGTCGCATGTCTTTGGTTCCAGCTGATTCCTCTCTAACAAAGGAAGGCTGAGTGGGAGATGATCTGATGAGCATGTCTCTTCCCAGATTTGATGCGCTCGTTAATCAGCTGCTCATCCTGCTAAAATGCAGCTTCTGGTTCTGCATGCATGGGCCTGGGGTTCTACACTGCCCATCCAGTACCTGGCAGGTGCAGTCTGCAGACCCATGGATAACAGATGACCCTTTGTGGAACCGAGATTGGTCCAGCCTGCCTTCCCCGTCTAGTCTCCATTCTAAGATGTGTTCTGATAGTGCTGTATCGCTTGCTAGGGCTTATGGTTTCTAGTTTAAATTAGGAGCTGTCCTTTTCCCTCTGGTGACCACTGTTTAAAATAGAATGGAACCAAGGATGGTGGTGCAGACATCTCTAATCCCGGCACTCAGAAAGCTGAGACTAGGGGATTGTGACGTAGTGAGACCATGTATCAAAAAAAAAAAAAAAAAAAAAAAAAAAAAAGAAAGGAAAAAAGTAAAGTGGTATGGATTCTACCATGGGGCAGTGGAGGGGAATTGATCCCAGCCTATACTGGACTCCACAGAGTTGGTCCAGATTCTTTCTTCCCAGATCTCCAAGTTGCATTATTAGCAGTAGTTGGCTCCTGCATAGCCGTGAGCTTGGCATGGACTTCAGAAAACAGCAGGGGTTAGTTCATCTTGGCGTCACGGCATGCTGCTGACACTTGCGATGGAAGAACATCCTCCCCAAGCCAGTGCAGACCAGTGGTACCACTTCCACATCTGCTGAGGATGACATTGGGGACCACGCCTGGCCTGTACAGGTTGTACAAAACCTCAGACATGATTTTCAAGTGTCAGAGATGCCTTAAGTGTTCTCTACACGCCAGGGTCTCACTGCACAGTGCTTACAGGACTTGCAGAGTCAGTGGCTGCATAAAAACGGGCTAGCATAAACGTCTCCCTTCTGCTGAAAAGTGACCGCCGACTTTCTGTTCTGCCTTAGCAACAGGAACAAGATCCTACCAACCTGTACATTTCTAACCTGCCGCTGTCCATGGACGAGCAAGAACTTGAAAATATGCTCAAACCCTTTGGACAAGTGATTTCTACAAGGGTCCTGCGTGATTCCAGTGGCACCAGCCGCGGTGTTGGCTTTGCCAGGTGAGCGCCCTGCCTGTCTCCTTACAAAGAGTTGCAGCTCTGCTGAGTCACTTTTCTAGAAAGTGAAAAATAACCAGAAAGAGAACGCCTCAGCCAGGGTCACGGGAGCCAGTTGTACTGTGGATTTCAATTGCATGTGACTTTACATGTAGGATTTTTCCAAGCCTTGGGAAGTTCTGGACTCGCGAAAGCGAGTGCAGTAAGTCCTATGTGGCTCATGGCTGGAACTGTCACAAGAACAGTGGTCCTGGACACATGCTCCTGACAGCTTGGCTCCTTACTTCTAGATGCTTGTAACCATTCACAAACAAAGAAGTCTCCCAAGGTTCATAGATAAATCAGTATCTTTTTCTCAGATAGAAATCTGATTCAAATTAACAGGTTTAGTTAGGTTTTTTAAGCTAAATATTTCAGACATTCGGAAAGGAAAAAGGGGATATAATACCTAGCCATCTCATCAACTTAGAAGCTACTGACAGTTTATAATTCTTCACGTTCGTTTTTTTAATGACTGTTCTAGATATGACTGAAGCACCCCTGCCCCACCGATGGAATCTTTACCCTTTTCCTAGGAAGGATCCCTTAGTGGATAAATTGGTTTCTAGAGATTCAAGTAAACAGAAAGAGCTTTGATTTGTGGCAGATTTATAATCTTAAAGCCCCTACACAAAAGCTGATTTTACAGTGAATTATTTAAGAATTTATTAGCAGTAGGCACTGACAGATAATATCAGCATGCATTAAATTATTAACTGATTTTTGGAGGGAAAATGCTGACATTTACTTAACTATGGAAATGACATTGACATCTTACCGCAAACTTGTGATGTCAACAAAGCATTTATTCGTTAAAGCATTTATTACTAAGGGACCTTATCATTGTCACCTCCCCATTAGGTCACAAAAGCAAGGGCTGCTGCTTGGTTCTGTTGGCTTTTAGTCACTTGTCCCATTGGACCAGACAGTCTGGAATAAGCCCACATCTTCTTGCAGCAGTATCAGTAATACATACTTACTACTTCATCGGGGACAAGGCTTTAGGCAAGACCTTTAGTGGTCCAGCCACATGCCATTCTTCCATGGTGCTCTTCTGATAAGTATATCACCCCTGCAGAGTGATACCACCCCTACAGAGGCCAGTGGAATTCTGTTTTTTTAAGACCTAGCACTGCTGGTTAAAACGAAGGTGTGGCTGAGTGAACCAGAGTAGAATACGTTTTGGGAAGGTGATTGGATGTTTCTGCTGAAGAAAAGCAAGTCAAAGTAATTAAGTCCCCAGAAGTGCTTCTCAAATGTTTTTAGTCACCTGTAGATGGAAAATAAACGGTAAAATTAGGCCCCAGCCTTTAATTCCTCCTCCAAAGTCAAGCTGACAAAGTACATAATTAAGTTCACTAATTGAAATTTAAACCCAGAAAGTTAAAAACACATAAGGCCCATCCTCTGACTGACATGAGCTATCACTCTGAGAGTTTATAAAAGGAAAGATTATCTTTAAAACAAAAATTCTAAACTATTGTTTTTAATCACAAAATCATGACTAAGAAAATCATTATTTTTTTGAATTATGAATTGTTATAAATTAAATTTTAAGTTTCCAACCATTAGAAAACCATAATTTGATATGACTGCTATGAAACACTCTTCATAGAATCTACTGTCTTTTATAATTCAGAATATTCTGTCTGTGATCATTATAACTTGGGGATAAGTTATTTTACTGTAGACATGCCAAAGCAACAGCTAAGGGAAGAGCAAGCCTTCTTGTTCTATGTCATCTCCATGGCTTTCCGTGAGGTTCTCTTTGTTTCCTAAACCTAAAGCGATAGTTATACAAAGTCTCTTGGTGCTGTGCGTGTAGTATTTATGTATCTCTTCTTCTTACATGACCAGGATGGAATCGACAGAAAAATGCGAAGCTGTAATTGGTCATTTTAATGGGAAGTTCATTAAGACCCCACCAGGAGTTTCTGGTATGTTGTTTTGCCTAAAGTTTTATCAGTCGTCTTTGATATAGCATGTACGTCACTTCAGCACACAGTGGCTCTGAAGACCCAAAACCTTTCACTTTTTAATGCTTACTTGTTTGTATTGGCAAATAAGATTTGCACGTGCACCAGCCAGGAGGAACTGGCCGGTCAGCGGCAGTGGTAAGGAGCTGACTCGCAAAGCATGGCAGAATTGACTCTTTGGACCGGCAGCCATCTTTTAACCCACCTCACCACCATGCTGCATAGCCTTCCCAGGACTGGGTACATCCCCTGAGAGCTCAGTATGTTCTGTCCTCAGTGCCTGGACCTTAGCTCCTGTGGCCTTTAAGTATACCCGGTCACTCCCGAGTCACTCTGCCTGTGTGGTCTTTAATCCAAACCACCACACCTTACCTCACAGAGTATTTATGCCTTAGCCCAGACTCCTGGGAGGCCTGTTCCGAAATGCGAGGAGCGCCTCCTGTTGTTGCTGAGAATTGACTTGTTAAGCTGTTTCCTGTCTCTACCAAATCTGGGGCGCCGCAATCCTCTTTTTAGCGGCGGCGGCCTCAGCTTCCTTGCACGTTCCCTGAGACTGCAATGATGCCACTGTAGACGATTTCCTTTCTCTGTGGCACCATGAAAATGAGCCAGACTCTCAGTACCACGGTTCCTCCTGCAGTTCTTCAGGCTTCCCAGCATCTTCCCTCCTCCCCTTCATCCACCCACGCAGTCGGCTCACAGCTCTGAGCAGATGACCTCACTTCCTGTGTAATGAACAGAATCTGGAGTGCCAGCAATGCCACTTGATTCCTGCCTCCTCCACTGGAGGGCCCCTTGCCTGTGCTCCGCTCTCTCCTTTCTCCTTCCAGAAGGATGTTAGAGCTCTTTGTGATCTTGTCCTGTTGGGGCCTTGCTATGCCTTCCTATCCTATAACTGTGTCTGCTCTTTGCTTATATCCCATGTTTTCCAACAAAATGAAAACTTTTATTTTGGATCTGTATAATAACATGTCCCCGCCGAGACGAATTGGTGAGCAAATGCAAGAAAATCGACACACAGTTAATATTCTAGTTGCATTTCTATTGCTGAGATTAAAAATATATATATATATATACATATATATATATATATATATATATATATATATATATATATATATATATACCGTTATAGAGAGCAACCAGAAATGGGTTTGTTTTAGCTCAATATTCCAGGTTATGTTCTATCACTGTGGGAAAGTCAGGGTGGCGGCGGCGGGGACTCGCATTGCATCCGCAGTCAAGAGCAGGGAGAGAATGGATGAACTCAGGCCTGCTTGTTTGTGTTTGCCTTAATTTCTCTATTCTTTTATAGTTTAGAACCTCTTGACTAGAGGATGGTGCCACCCTCAGTGGGCTGGGTCTTCCACATCGATTAACTTAAGACCGCCCCCCAGACATGCCCACAGTCATTGGTACTTTCTCCCAGGTGATTGTGGGTTGTGTCAAGTTGACAGAACTATCAGGATTCTAAACAAAAAATTGTGAATGTAGACATCATGGATGTTCTTAATCACAGAATTTAGTGACTAGGCATGCAAACTACTTTATGCCAAGGTTTTTCCAGAAGAAAATAATCCGTTTGTGTTTGAAATCATCTTAGTGTTTTGTGATCTCGAAGTTAAGTCTGTGTTTTCCTGAAAGCACTTTTAAAGGGCAGTCTTACTTCCCATCACTCCTCAGTTCTGCCCAGGTGGGTATCTTCTCCTAGCTTGTAACTGAAATTCCTTGAGGCAAGCATTCTGTTTGTTAGGACAACTGTCACAGAATTGCACAAACAGTAGATTCGTGACCCACTCACCTTTTGGAGGGCCAGAAGTCCAAACTGGAGGAATGCAAGATCAGTTCCTTCTGAGGGCTGTGAGGGAAGGGGCTATTCCAGGCATCTCCTTGGCTTGCAGTTGGCCATCCTCTTCTTGGGTCTCTTCACATCACCTTCCCTCTGTGTGTCCTTTCATTTATGAGAACACCAATCACAAGGGATGAATGGCCCACCCTAGTGACGTCATGAGAACACCAATCATGACAGATGAATGGCCTACCCTAGTGGTATCATGATAACACCAATCATGATAGATGAATGGCTCACCCTAGTGATGTCATGAGAATGCCAATCGTGACGGTTGAATGGCCCGTCCTAGTGACGTCATGAGAACACCAATCATGACTGTTGAGTGGCCCGTGAGTGATGTCTCTTTTTAAGTTCCTGTCTGTAATCGGGGTCACATTCTGGGGTGCTGGGAGTTAGATCTCTAACGTGTCTTACTAAAGAGGAGGGGAGAGTAGGAGGGAAACACGGTTGAACACTTTGCTCATGACTGACATGTCTGTGCCATGTCATCCTTGAACCAGTCACTTTCCCTGCCCCCGGGGGTTTGCTTCCATAGTACATTTCTGACAGATTTTATCCAGTCTTGAGATTTCAGTCTCTGCTTCCGGTGAGTCTCGGTCATTCATCTCTTTCTGACTTTCTATTGAGCATCAGTCTCCCTGTGTCCACTGTCTCCAGAGCCAACCCTGTTGTTCTCACTGCTAGTGCTCTTGCCTTCTTTACCTCCATTAGTGGGCTCAGAAACCCAGGGCCAGATTCCTGTGGACACCTCCACCCTTCCTCTCTCCCATTCAAATACTCACTCAGGTCCTTGATTTTTCTTCCTGATTATTTCTGCCCCTTCCCTCTCTGCCTGCTGTCACCACCTGGTATGCCCCTGATCTCTCAGTAGAGCAGCCAACCAGTGGCTTGTCCTGCCTGGCCTGACCTCCCTCACACCGCTTCCTAAATAGCCAGAGAATTTTAGACAAACTGCATCTGTTTCACCATGCTCCCACACCCATCACCACTCAAGAAAAGGCCGAGGGTTCCCAGAATGACACTGACGGCCATGGTGACCAGAGCCCTTGTCCCTCCATGCCGTCTATCCGTTCCTACCATCTGGCCTGTGCCTCAGTAATGAATCACAAGTAGGTTACATCGCACTCTGTCATTCCTCCCTGTGTTCTCTCCCATGGCTCTACACCTTCATCTCTTTGCTTCCCATTAAAAAGGATGCCCTCTCCTTACCCTTCTACACTTTCTCTGAGTCTGTCTTCCCCTGGGACCTGCTCTGACTCAGCTGGGTGCATCTGCATGGGGAACCCCGAAAGGATTCACATTGCCGTCTGAACACTGATGTGTTTACCTGTGTCGGTCCCACTCTGCTGGAAGCTCCTAGAAGAAGTTTTCTCCTCTCTTTATGTTCATGCCTTGCAGTGATTCAGCTATACCAAGCAACAACCAGTGTGGTTCATTTTTAATAAATTTCATTGCTCCTTAACACCAAGGCAGCACTGGGTCCTAGCAGGGTAGCATGCGGGAAAGACCGAAGCGCCTTCTGGTTTGGCAGTTAGTCCCCAGCGCACTCCCTGCCAGCACGCAGTGTCTCAGGATTCAGCAACCACTTCACCTTGCTTTGAAAGGGAGGCACTGAAGTTGTTAGAACAGAAGAGAGAAGTGTCTGCTCTTTTTTCATATCCTACCCGTACTGTATTCTCAGGCTTCTTGCTCGGCAGGCATAAGACATCTGCTTTCTGCTTCTGGGTCTGGAGCAACAAGTCTGTGTCCTTCCTGACAGCATCATCGTCTGCCTCTACATACCTATGCCCTGCAGATCTACTCTTGCTTGGGTAGAAGTCTGGAGAGGGGTCCTTTCAAAGGTGTTCCTCCAGCCTCCTGCTCACTAGCATCTGCAGTAGTCAGCTGCATCAGTAAGAATTAACCCAAAAGCTCCTGTGGAGACAGTCAGGTCCTTGACCTTACCCCGAACTAGGATAACTCTGTAGTAAACAACCATGCAGAAACCCAGAAAAGGAGGAAAGTATGCCATTTGGCTGAATGCATCTTTGCCCCCAGAGTCTGTCCGGCACCTTTCATATGAAGAAAAACAAAAAAACAAAAAAACAAAACAAAACAAAACAAAAAAACCTTTAATCCAGAAGTAGATCCTGCAAATAGAACCTGAGTAACATAAAAGGTTGGTCAGACCCCATCTCTAAATGGCAAGAGCATACATGTACCTCAGTTTGTCACATAGAACACAGCCTTCAGAAAGCCCTGAGGGATGTTGAAAGTAGAGTCATTCTGTCCAGGTCACTGGAGTGAGCAGCTGCTCTTAGGCCGTGCATGGGTAACTGGTGTTGGGATTATACACTCCCAGGGCTCCCAGGCTCCGTCTTTAACGGGATGACTGAGGAGAAGGAGGAGAGTCACTTTAATTTTCCATATCCTGTTCCATTTCATTTCATAGAGGAACTAATTGGTGTGTCTGTGTGGTACCGCAGGCCACACTTGATCTTGCAGTATTAAAACCTGACAACCCATCACTTCTGAAGCCACTGTTGAAGGTGAGCTGCCCATAGGCACACATTTGGAACATAAAATCCAGGTCCTGAAAGGACAGTGCGTCTGAGGAAATCAGGCTAGTGGAAGAACTTCCTCTGGTTCTCTGAGTTAGTTTTCTTTTTCCATCAACAACACTTGGATGAAAGAAAAGAAAGAAGGTTTTAACCTCAAACTAGTAGAAGCCTGCCCTGTGAGTTTAGCACAGTGCCAATTTGAGTGCTCTCTGCATACTCGGGATCCCACACCCCCCATCCAACTTTCGTCCCTTCCAAGGACTGATCTACACCTACCTGTGACCTCTTTTCTTGGTTCATTCTTACGCAGCAGGGCCATTTGTATCGGCCTGCGATAAAATCTTCCAATTCCCTCCGCGAAAGAAACTTCACAGAGTGTCACCGATCGGGTGAACAGTTTCCTTTGTTCTCTAAAGGGCTTGGTGGTTGTCATTAGACTGTTTCCTCTGAAGTGGTTTCACCAACTGCAGGTCCCAGCCATTCAAGGGAAACCCGGTGATTTCCAACCCGCATAGGGATGATTGTAGGAGTCGGGGCAACACTGCAGCTGATAGAGAATCGTTCCCCCG